TGCCCGGCAAAATCTTAGAGCAGATTCTCCTGGAAGGCATGCTAAGGCACATGAAAAACAAGGTGCTTGGTGACAGCCAGCATGGCTTCACTGAGGGGAAATCCTGCCTGACCAATTTGGTGGCCTTCTACGATGGGGCTACAGAACTGATGGACATCGGTAGAGCAGTTGATGTCATCGACCTGGACTTGTGTAAAGCGTTTGACACTGTCTTGCATGACATCCTTGTCTCTAAATTGGAGAGGCATCAATTTGATGAATGGACCACTCGGTGGATAAAGAACTGGCTGGCTGGCCGCACACAAAGAGTTGTGGTCAATGGCTCAGTGTCTGGCTGGAGACCAGTAACGAGTGGTGTCCCTCAGGGATTGGTGTTGGGACCGGTCTTGTTCAACATCTTCGTCGCTGACATGGACAGTGGGATTGAGCGCACCCTCAGCAAGTTTGCCGATGACACCAAGCTGTGTGGTTCGGTTGACATGGTGGAGGGAAGGAATGCCATCCAGAGGGACCTTGACACACTTGTGAGGTGGGCTGATGCCAACCTCATGAAGTTTAACCATGGCAAGTGCAAGGTCCTACACCTTGGTCAGAGCAATCCCAGACACAGCTACAGGTTGGGCAGAGAAGAGATTCAGAGCAGCCCTGCGGAGAAGGACTTGGGGGTGCTGGTCAATGAGAAAATGAACATGAGGCAGCTGCAGTGTGCATTTGCAGCCCAGAAAGCCAACCATATCCTGGGCTGCATCAAAAGGAGTGTGACCAGCAGGTCGAAGGAGGTGATCCTGCCCCTCTACTCTGCTCTCGTGAGACCTCACCTGGAATACTGTGTGTAGTTCTGGTGTCCTCAACATAAAAAGGACATGGAACTGTTGGAACAAGTCCAGAGGAGGGCCACAAGGATGATCAGGGGACTGGAGCACCTCCTGTTATGAAGACAGGCTGAGAGAGTTGAGGCTGTTGAGCCTGAAGAGAAGGCCGCGTGGAGACCTCATAGCAGCCTTCCGGTACCTGAAGGGGGGCTATAGGGATGCTGGGGATGGACTCTTCATTAGGGACTGTAGTGACAGGACAAGGAGTAACGGGTTCAAACTTAAACAGGGGAAGTTTAGATTGGATATAAGGAAGAAATTCTTTCCTGTTAGGGTGGTGAGGCACTGAATGGGTTGCCCAGGGAGGTTGTGAATGCTCCATCCCTGGTGGTGCTCAAGGCCAGGCTGGACAGAGCCTTGGGTGACATGGATTAGTGTGAGGTGTCCCTGCCCATTGCAGGGGGGGTAGAACTTGATGATCTTAAGGTCCTTTTCAACCCTAGCTATTCTATGATTCTGTAACAGCACTTGAGAATAATCTGCCTGTACATGATCACAAAAGCAACAAAAGATGCTGAAACTGCCAATGTGGCAGTGCATATTTGAGACAGAAATCCACAAGGGGTGTAAAAAGCATTTGAAGACAATAGCCATTAATTAATCACCCAGTGCTTTAAGGCAATAACAAGCAAGAATTCTCAAGTAGACACTTCAGTAAATAGATGTGAATCTCCAATTCAGACTGTACTTCATAGATCTGATAGAATTAGTGATTACTTTTTTTTTTAAAGTTGACCAATGCAAGGCTTGAACTTCCACTTACTAATTCCAGAGCCATCAACCTGCTGGCAGATCAGCACAGTAAATTCAGACAATAGATTTACACTATAGTAGCCAGATACTAGATTTTGACACATACCATCAATCCCTTACTCCCTCTCCTGTTTCCTCCTGCACATCAACGCAGGTTCCAGTCTGTCCTTTAAACTGCCTTCCCACTCAGTCTGTAAACATCATACACTGGAAGAGTGGCATGAGTGGAAGACTGGAGAGGGCAGCAGCTCCTTGAGTTCTGCTCACTAGGCAGCCCTGTAGCAGGCCTGCAGTATTGGCTCAGCAGATACTGCAGCACTGCCCTTCTGAAAAAAATGAGCCCCATAAGTCAAGGTGCCCTGAAAGATTTTCTTACCTAACACACAAGAGCATTCAACCCATATAATCATCCTAGACGACTAACCATACCTGTCCTTACAACAACTACCTCAAGAATATTATTTTTTAATTATATTAGCCACATTAAGCACTACCTCCTACCATCTTAACTCTTTCATCATGCTTTCACCACTGCTGAGTTTATAATTTTAGGTATCACTTTAAATGATTCTTAAGATGTAAGTGCATGTAAAAGTAAATTTGTGGAAGCTTTCCCCAGCTCAGTATCTCAAGATTATGAATTCCACGCAGCAGCTGAGCTTCATGTCCATCATGTGTCATGAATACCCTTGTCCCTCTATAAATAACCAGCCTGAAATCCTTTAGAGATGATGGAAGTAGTTCAACTTGCAGGGGAAGAAAACTGTGTTGCTAAGGAACAGCAAAGGAAAAAAAAAAGGCTAAAGTGGTAATCTGAAATGAAATGAAATGAAAGGAAATAATTTAATGGGCCCTTGATATGTTGGGTGTTTGGCATATCATCAGCAATTTAGCAGGCTGTAGGCTTTATTTCAAACTTAGGCTGAAAGAATAGTCAGAGCATGACTGCACCCTAAATCTTGGGGTTAGCTGCATTCTCTCTGATTCATACAACAGACCCTGTCCGCTCTTGTGGATTTCAGACAAAATTTTAAAAGTAAACCACATGAATATCAGTTTGAACTACATCTATGCCTACAGTTCTTGACACTCCATTCTTTTAGATGAAGACAAAGGGTGAGTATTTTCTTCACATTTTTCTCACTAGCAGACCTAGAGATGTGCTTTGCCAGTACTGGCTTTCATGACTTGCTGATTTTGGCAGAGAACTCAGCAATGCACAGAACCAAACACTATTTCTTTTTTTCTCTTTTACAGTATTTTCAGGAAAATGTTTTCCATTGTTTGTAATCACTTAGAAAAAAGACTCGTTGTGGTAAAAGATTTCTAAAGCTCTTCCTCCACTGAGAATTTTAGTTGTTTTGAAGAGCATTTCCTTTTCTTCTTGAGACAGATCTTTCTCTAGATGTTTTTCTTCTTTTACCCTTTTCCTTCAGCTTACTTAAATAGAAGAGTTACAACTGCAGAGACTACATCTCCGGCATATTTAGCAATGCCTTTACAATTTCTTACATGTTTTCCAACACTTCTGTTTCAGTATCACAAATGCCGGGTATTTAACATTCCCAAAGTCAGAATTCCAGTACGTCAATTGTTCAAGTTGTACTTTAACTCACAAAATGCTAAGTATCAAACTGACAACCTCACCTTCTTCCTTTCTCACTATGGTTTTAGGGACTACATTGCTGAACACTGTCTGATAAGTAGACTTTGCCTCAGGAAGGTTTCCGATTAAATAACTATCAAATAACAACTAACAACTACAAAACTATCACACTTTTGTGTAACAAACAACAGGTAAACCACTTCATGAGTGGTTTACAAGGAACTGACTTACCAAAATGAGGTAGGTGACCCACCTATCTTCTCATTTGCACCCACCATTACCTCCTTATGTCCTTAACTGTGTATTCCTAGATCTTAATTCGGCTGGGTCTTACTGGTTGAACGCATTAGTTTTATAATGCTTAGTTGGTTAAATAAAAGACTTCTCCCTCAAAATTCCGTTTGTTTTAACTTTGTGATGTAGAATCACAAAACATACTAGGTATGCTGTAACTACATTTTTTCTGAAAATAATTTTATCTGTCATTCTAAAGCTTGGGCTCATTAGGTTCTGCTGTAACTATCTTAACTATCTTTTTTTTTCCCCCTCATGTGTATCTAATTTTACTGGAGCATGAAAATGTGCTAGCTGAACACCATACAAGAAATGTTGACACTAACACAATGAGCTTTACATACATATGCTAATTGCAACTCCCAGTCTATACTATTTTTGTCTCACCTATTGAAAAAATTTCCCAGACCTGTAAACCTTTCCAAACACTGTTTCATATAGTTACTGGATAAAAACATGAACTCTGTATTCCATGCTTTTTGAGAAACACTGGTAGAGCAAGTCAGAATTGCAGAGAAAGGCACAGCAATAAACTTCTCAATGTGCCTTTGTGTGGCCATTACAGATAACATTGTATCACCATAGTTCTTCCATCTCTTTTCGGAAATGCAAAACTTAAGACCTTCAAAGAAAATAAGATAGGCGCTGCCTGAATTCATGTCGCTGCTACTCTTCACTCATCACTCTTTTGTAATAGAAATTAAGGATGCACAAAATAATCTGCTACCATACAAGAAAAACAAGACAAAGGTTAACAGAAGTTTAAAGGAAAAAGTTCACCAGAAGTGTTTTTCCTAAATCTGAAGGTGTCATTCACATCGCCAGAGGGCACCAGAACTCATGCCCAGTGCACCAAGAACGGGTTTTTGTGTGCTGCTCCCTCTTCAGTGCAGCAGTCAACTGCAGCCTAACAAGAGGGGTCCATTTTCCCAAAATAATGTTGTTACCGTTGCTATAAAGGTGACTCATCCCTTTCAACTGTTTTCTATTTGTACAAGTGTTTTCCTTCTGAAGATACTGGACCTATATCATAGTGTTACAAACTCTCCCTTTCCTGCTTTGCTGTCCCATAAAAAGATTCTAGAAAATCAGGCAGCCTACATTCTAGTCACTGTAGAACCACTCATGCTACAGTCTGGAAGCACAAAACACAGAAGCACAGAGAAGGAAGACACTCACTTACTTGCACTCCTCCACACTGGTCTCGCCTATACAGGAAATAAAAATCAGGAGAGTTCCAACAGGGATGGGAGTTTAAGATAGAGAAGGATGCCAGATCACCTGCAGAGTATAAAAAAGGGAAAGAAAACAGGTTCCAGATACTGGCCCCTTGTAAGTTTTTTTTAAAGCTGGAGTAAAGCATTTATTTGTAAAGGTACCAAGACACCACATATTACACACTACTGATAACATGGCTGCTGTCACAGAACACTACTTACGGACAGATAAGATGGAAAAGACACAAACATGCTCACCGTGCAAACAGAGGTCTCATCTCCAGTCTTTACTCTGTTCCGAGCCAAAAGCTGCTCCAAGAGGTTTATTCTGTGCAGCAGCCAGGAAAATGCCAGCAGCAGCTCCCGACTACCCGCTGAGCCATCAGAGGGGAGCCGATAGAGTTCTGGCCTGTCATAGCCATGGTACCACAATGCTGCCTTCACAAACCTAATTTGGTTATCTGAAAAGAAGAAAACAATTGAGAATAACATACTGCACTACTCAGTGCTTTTATGCTTCATTTACAGAAACTGCTGCCTCCTCTGAAAGCAAGATTTTTAATCAAGCTTAAGATTTGTGTAAGACAGTGGAGGCTACAGCCTTTATCAACAACCAGTAGATGAGAGGAGTGTAAAGGGTAAAAGCTTTCCTTACGCTGCCCCATTCTCATCTACAGAACTACTGCTAAGGGAAAAGAATAAATTCAAAGTTGAGATCAAGGCCAGTAATGGCCTCTTGGAGATTAAAAAAGGCAAAAAAGGTAAATAGCCATTCCCACTGTAACAGGACTCCAATTCACCTATTCATTTTTTATGATCCACCAAGCACGCTATGAATTAATAAATACTGAGTCACTTTACTCCTGAATGAAACTGGAATTTAGAGATAGAAGTTTCGCAGCCTACTGCAAATCTCTAAGCACCAGTGAGCAGGCAGATATAATGCAGCATGCCACATGGACTGTTTAATTCTTGAGAACGCTCTGATCTATATTCCTTCACACCAGCAAATGTTACCTGACAGCTACAAGACAGGCACTACAGAACTGTAAAATACTGAGGAAACATGGAGAAAACTTATTTAAAAAGGTTCTGTACTGCATCAAAACTGTAATAAAGAACATAATTAAGGGGCACAATGATAAACAATACACACTGGGGAAAAACCAACATTTGTAAAAGGAAGTCCTGCTCAAAAAGCTACTGAAGTTCTCCAAAGGCAACAACAAGCAAGTGATTAAGGAAGAATCAACCAATGTAGGAGATTTAGATTTCCCAATGAGAATTAAATAGCACAAAGAAACTGAGCCACTACAGTGGAGGGATAGGGAAGGCCCTTCAATCAATGACAAGTGCCTAACAGACAAGAACCAGAGGGTAGGAACAAATGGTGGTTTCAGATGAGGCTCTGTTCTAAACAGTTGCTGTTCAACCAACTCAAAATGACACACAGACAACATGATAGTGACAGAAAATTTGGTGCTGATGTGATATTACTCAGTAGTAAGAAATGCAGGCAGATCATGAAGGACTGCAGAACCTAATGAGCCCAGGCTTTAGAATGACAAACAAAGTTCTTTTTAGAAAAAAAGCAAAAATGATACACACAAGAGAAAAAACAATCCTAACTGTACTGACACAGCAATGAGCTTGGGGCTGATCACTGAACTCAGGAACACTATCTTAGATGATAAAGATTTTTCATGACTATCACATGATACAAGAACTACATGGTTCTCATATGCATTCAAAACCAAACAGAATGTAAGAAACCTACAAAGGAAACTAAACAGAACACAGGGAATAACACTGTACTGTTGTCTACATATATGTGCCCCCATATCTCAAGTTCACAGTGTTATTTTACTTCTTCAGTCCCAAAAAATCAAAGAGGAGATGAGTACGATCACAAGTACAGAACAGCTTCATTTTAAGAACTGATGATGTAGGCCAAGAAGATGACTGAGAATGGGTGTAACAAAACTCCTTCAAATGGTAAGTACTGTGGAATGGGTGTACGGGGAATAATCTGTTTGCACAACATTTAATAAAAGAACTGTGAGCCACCAAGAAAAGTTAGCAAGTCTGTGAATAAAAACAAGTTAGAGATGTTCTCCACACATACAGCAAAGCCCTGAAATTTCTGGTCATGAGACACTATAAATACTGAGAGCTATACAGACTCACAGAGGAACTCGACTGACAGAACAGGAGTGCATGGAAGCTTATGAAATGCAAAGACAACCTTTATGGTTTAGGACATCTGAGATGTAAATTACTGGAGGTTGAAAGAATATTCCTCTGAAAGAATCGTTCTATTTTTGCTCTTTCCCCTGGGCATCCACTTCTGACAGCTGGAACAGCTGGATGAAGCTAGAGCAACCTTCAATTTGATCCAGTTTAAGCATTTTTACGAAGTAAGGAATAAAGCTTCTCTCCTTTTCCAGTGTAATGCTTCAGTATTTCTTAGGGTTTCATAAAAAATGTACAGTAACAGACACAAAAGTAACAATTTTTGCAGGACTAGTGTTTTGCATAGCGGGGCTTCTGCAGAGACGCATGACAGTTGTACAACTGGATTTAAACCTAGCCTGTTTCTGCATTACAGACACAAAAAAGAAATCCAAACACCTGAATCACTTTGCTTGTTCTTTCTGCAGAACCTGTGAATGCAAAAACAAGCAGCTTACTTTCACGATGTCAGAGTGGCAGAAATGCCTGTGGTTTGCTAAAAATCTTGCTATGTAATATAATCCTTTAAGCACAAGGAGATCTCTCGGATATTAGTTTTTACTTTTATCCCTCTTGAATATTCTTATGTGAGCTAGGTTTTCATACTGCCCTTTCCTTTGCTTCCTGCATTTGTCAAAAAAGGAACCACCATAACAGGTAAAGGAAGAAATGCTCCAAAAGGAAGGAAGATCAATACACGCTTTTCTTTTTCAAAGCAAACCAGCATCACATACTGCCATCTGCAGTTCAGTAAGCTCCACAAGAAATCACCTATCAAAGAATAGAGGAAGCCAGGTGCATTTCTCTGCTCTGATATACCACTCAGGACCAGATCCACGCAGGCAATTTGCCACTTGAATTATTGTGTTGCTCTGGTCCTTTATCTCCCCCTATTTCACCTCTCCCTCTGCATGAGGGAGTGTGATTAGTTGAGTGTGAGGTAGGAATTGTGGGCAAGTGGTGAAAGCATGGGTCTGGAACTGGGGCTCAAATAGCCTTTCCATAACCTTATAGAAATCACTTTCCTCATCTCTAACGCGCTCAGATAAATGGCAGCAGAGGCTATAGAAGTACCAAGATGGACTTGTCCATAATGTGCAGCCAAGAGAGGAAAAGAAACCCCATCACTCACGTATCAGATAACACCAGTCACTCAAACACCTCCTCTTTGACATCTTATGACATTCCATTAGGATTGGGCAATTTAGAGAAAGAACCACACAGTCCTTTCAACTAAACACCTTCTGCATGCATATTATTTATTATATTCAGCAAGTAAGACCAAGCTGTGGATGAACCTCAGTGTTCAGCCCTCTTAAGACTATACTCAAGCTGCGCTGTTCTGCTTTATTAATCCTGCAGAATATATGCAGTGAATTATAGCATGATATTCAAATAAGGGTTATGCATTATCCTGGCAGGCTAAAATGGAAAGGAACTAAATCAAGTACAAGAACACACAGATACATTACTGTATGCAATCAGGCAAGAAACACCTGCATAGGTAGTGGTATGATGAGAAACTATTGCTGCAGAAAAAATAATTCTGTTTCATTTGTCAAACACACAAAAATATATTGCAGCTCTAGACCTTTTTCCCATACTATAAAAACTGAATGGCACCTCCAGAAAAGAAACATTTCCTCCAGCTATCTAAGTGCATACATAGCACTGCTACCTGCTGTGGCTGTCAGGCTGTTAACCAAGTCCATCAGCTCTCAGCCTCTGTGAAGAGTGAGCAGCAAGAAACGACTGATCATGACTTCATCAGTAAGGTTATGCCTGGAGTACTATTACACAGCTTACTTGGACTCGTACTCCTCTGATGAGAGACCCATCATTCAAACATGTTTAAGGGGCTGGATTAACAGCTTCCCACCAAAGTTTACAGTAAATGCTTTTCACTGTGTGAAGAAAACAAGAAATCAAGAGCCATTTGCAGAATTTTATAACCACTGGCTGGGGCTTCTGGTTTCTTTTCACAAGAATACTTCATACATTTTAAAACATCAAACTGTGTGGGGCTTTTTTTTTTTTTCATATGTGATTTTTCAAAGAGTTTATTTTCTCCTACCTAGGCAATGAAATACATCAACCACTTAAAAACACGGTGCAGAAAGTTTTCCCGAACAATATAACAACCATAAGAAGGGAACGACTAGCAGTTGTTGTATTCAAAGTAAATTTTAATCTCCTCTAAAATTTACCTATATGACAATGTCATCGCAAAAACAGACTAATGAAACTACTAACTCAAAACAGGAACACACGCTGCAGTGCAACCTCAAAAGTCACTTGATAAAAAGGACTTGCCACATTAAGGAGAAATTTTCTGGAAAAGAATCTACCCTTTTCTATGGGCAAAATCTGTAAGAGCATTCTGTCCCTGCCACACACTGCTTGCTTATACCACCTTGCAACTGCAAAGGGTTCAACATCTAGCACACAGTCCTTGAAATGTAGGTCTGAGTTTACGGAGTAGCAAGAACCACCACTGTGACTGCAACAACACATGCAGACTATAGGTCAGAGGTCAGTGTTTCCTCTAGAAAAAAGGGTACAGCACCATCTGAGTATGGCTTCTCTTTTCCAGAAAGTTGTTCCTATGCACGTAGTAACCCTTATATTGAAGAAGTCTTCAAAGCCCTCTTCTAGGATCTGGCAATTGCTGCTCTCTTTGTTTTAATTAAGAAAATTAAGGGGTTGCACAAAAAGAGCAAAGACAGGAAAGCCTGATCCACGGACTAAAGCACTAGACTTGGATTAGGGAAATTCATTTCAATCCTTTGATGTGCAACGGGATCCTATAACAAACCAGAGAAAGTTATTTAGTCCCTATGCCAAAGGCTCCACTTCACTTACATGAAATAAATACATGAAAGACCGTAAGTGCTCCAGAGCAGGGACAGAGAAGGAAAGCAGCAAAATGCTGATAGCGTTTGCAGCAGACAACTCATTCACTTGGCCAAGTAAAGGTAATTAGTGTATTTTGAAAAACAGTATGGCTCTCCAACCTGAATTTCAGCTTTAATCACCATGTTGTGACACGTTTCTTAAAAATCAGCTCAGCAGTTCTGAGCAGAACCACAAATTCCTACCTTGCAATCCACCATCAGAAGCTGCATTTGCTCCCTCTAGTCAGCAACCTGCCACATGCATGTGGAAATCCTGTCTCCAAATGCAACAAGCACATAACATGAGAGCAGCCAGGGTTCAGCAAGGTTGCACATGTGCAAGACGATGCTACAAAGCTGTAGGAGACAGCCAATAGACTTACCAGTACACAGCAGATTGTGTATGAGTAGAAAAGAAAAAACAGCCAAATGAAAAATAGCAGTCCTGTGAGTAACACTGAACCATGTTGATTTCCTACTGAGCTACCAGCAAAACTATGCTGGTTTTGCTCCACACTCCGCAATGCTTACCCTTTTATAACTCTGCTTACAGAGCCATCAGATTCCCAACTCTTCAGGGGCTTAAACAGTGTTGTTCAGGTTTCTTTCCTTCCAAAGGCAGAAGTGGATTTTAAGTGATTTTGGTCTGAGGGGACCTTTATCCATGACAGAGAATTCTATTCTCAGAACTTCCTCTGATAAAGAAAGGGCTCTACATAGACATCTTTCACAAGAGAAGTCTGAAGAGTATTGCAGTTAGAATAGCATCCATTTAAGTAAATAGTGCTCTGTGATTGTGAGAAGCCAACCTGTAGTCAGCTTCCCTCTGAAGCAGTGGCCTTGTCCAGAGATACTCATGTTCCCTCTAAAATAATCACACACTTTTTGTTTTGTCTACCACTTCAATCCAAAACACTGCCTTTATCGTAGAATAGTCTGCGTTGGAAAGGTCCTTAAAGATCATTCAGTTCCATCTCCCTGCCATTGGCAGAGACACCTTCCACTAGACCAGGTTGCTCAAAACCCCATCCAACTTGATCTTGAGCACTGCCAGGGATGGAGTAGCCACAGCTTCTCAGGGCAACCTGAGCCAGTGCCTCACCACCCTCACAGTAAACAATTTCTTCCTAATATCTAACCTAAATCTACCCTCTTTCAGCTTAAAGCCATTGGCCCTTGTCTTATCCCTACAGGCCCTTGTAAAAGGTCCCTCTCCAGCTTTCTTGTATGCTCCCTTTATATACTGGAAACTGCTCTAAAGTCTCCCCAGAACATTCTCGAGCCCCAACTCTCTCAGCCTGTCTTCACAGGAAAGGTGCTCCACCTCAGAGTAACTTCATGGCCCTCCTCTGTACTCACCCCAACAGGTCCACCTCCTTCTTGGGTATATGGCTCATATGTTACAATTCAGTTTTGATGGCAGGGGATCAGCTCCAATCCCCAGCTTCCCACCTTCCTCTCAGTTCAACAGGGTGTGATGCAGGCAGCTCAGGTCCCCAGCCATGTATAAACTCTTAACCGAAGCAATCCCAGGGATTAACCCTTCAGAGGACAGTGGGGTAGAAGTGGTTCTACCGTTTGAGAGATACACTACAATTCACAGACCTGACATAGGACCTGATTGAAAATTAACCACAGAATCACACGTCATATGTGGAATGGGGAAAAGAAGAAATCAAATGAAAAACAAATCAATTTCTGTAATTACCTCTGCAGATGCTGAGAATGCATAAGATCATTGGAGAGATTTACCTGTGATAAGGTGTCAAAGGGAAAGAGGAACTTCTAGCAGACACAAGGACATCCCAGTTTCACGGACAAAGCAAGCCAAAGAGACATAAACCTGCCTGCACAGCTGTTACGTAATAGGAAGTTGGTGGCACAGGTCTACAAAATGGACTACTCCTGAGAGGAACCAAGGGGCAAAAGAAGTGCTACAAAACCAGTCTCAGTACTTCCCTGGGACAGATGAAAAGCACAGACAGCCAGACTGACTAGGTTACCTATGGCATCAGACTCTGCCCACTTGTGTCCATGGATTTGTTTCAGAAGAGCATAGAGCAGCCTCCAGAAATCCAAGCTCTGCAAAAGAGAGGAGTGGGGGAAGATGAGCAGGCAAAACATATGCCACATATTTAGTCTTAATTAGGCAATTAAACCTGTACCTGAATATCAACAGTTAATCAAAAGAGCACACCTGAATCCTGCCAACACTGTTGGATGAGGCAGGTTCACATATTAGCTCTCTTCTGAACACAACCTACAGTGAGGTGTACTCAGGAAGAGAACGGCTGCTAATGCTGCCTGTACAGCAAGACCCAGCACTTCTACTTTGAGGCACATGCATACATAATAAGCACAGCTTCCAAAGTATCTGCCCTGATATAACCACATATGGCACAACTTGTCCATAGTCAAACTAGTACTCAAAGACACTCTAAACATCTGACAGTGATAGCATCAAAAACTCACAAAGAGGCAGCACAAAAGGAGTTGGACCTGGAAATCACTTCTTGGCCACACAAGGGCAGCACACTGACAGACTGAGGCAGTGATTCTTACAGCTGGAATTTCAGTCAACGCTCGTAAAACGCTCAAAACAGATAACTGAGCAAGGGGAGCACCCTGTGTGCAAGCTGGAAGCCCTGCGAGCATCACCCTGCAAAGCCCTGATGCAAAGCCCCAAGCTGGTGTAAAGGGGAAGCCTGAAGTGACTCCAGGAAGATGCCGCAGACCACAGTGAAACACCAAGCTTTAAATTAAAGCCACAGTACGGTAAAGCCGTTTCAGGTGCGGCAATTTGCGGACAGTCACACAACGGCTGGGGCCCACACAGAGGTGTGCCCCCTCAGGCCCTCGGTCCCGCTCGGGTGTCCTCGCCCGTCCCTCCGACCCGGGACCGGGCCCGGCAAGGATATCCCCGTCCAGCCACGGTGCCGTCCCCAAGGCGCGGAGGGGTCGGTTACTGGACAACAGCGCGGGCGGCCGGTGAAGGGTGTTCCGGGGCAGCCCGCGCTCACCGCCTGCGGCCGGTCGAACTTGGCGCAGCGGAGGGTGTCGGGGGCGGGCCGTGCGCGGGGCGGTAGAGCCCGGCACAGCGCCCCGACAGCACCCGGTAGTGACCGACCCCGCTGCTCCTGACGCTGCTGCTGCCGCCGCATCTCACCACACCGCCCGCCGCCGCTTCCCGCCCTCTGCCAGGGTGCGCCGGACGCATGCGCAGTGCAGCAGCACGGCTCTTCCCCTCTGTTCGGCTGCGCCCGCCCGCTGCGGTGCCCCCTGGCGGCTGGGCGGAAGCACTGAACTGCCAGCCGCTGCGCCGCCTGGGGGCGACATGCGCGAGGCGCGCCGCGAGCAGGGCCCAGCCGTCCTGTCCGGCCTGGCCGCGGTGGTACCGGTGCTCGCGCCCCCCGAACCCGCGCCTCCCTCTGCGGGAATGGACCCGCGAGCCACGGCTTTGTCGCCCCCAACCAAAACCCCCAAGCGAGCCCTGCAAGCTTCCCCTCCCGTCCTGGCCCGAAGAGTTACTGCAAAACCCGTCCCGGTTTTCCTAAACGTACGACTCTGCTGCTGTCAGACCGAGAAACAGTTTCCCGGCCGACGGGAGAGTGCACGGTCTGGCAGCAGGGTATCGGCTCCAATCCCCGGCTTCCCGCCTTCCTCTCAGTTCAGTGAGGCATGATGCAGGCAGCTCGGGTCCCCAGGCATGTCTAAACTCTTGACTGAAGCAATCCCAGGGATTAACCCCAGGGCGGACAGCAGGAAGCAGGTTCTGCCGTCTGGGGGATAGCCTGAATTACTGAGATGGAAAGTCCACATCTTGGCCAGGGTTTACATGGCCAAAACCTGGCCATGGATGGATTCCTGCTGTGGTCCTTATAGAGGGACATACCAGGGCATGCCAGGGGTGCTGGTCTGCTCCACTCACAAAGCAGGGGCCCTGCCTGAGCCTGTACATTAAATCTGCTAGAAACCCCCACTGGTGGTTTCTTGGCCAAGTACCCAGTTCGTAACCCACTTAATGTACTACCCATGGATGTAGTGTGATGCTTTTCCTTTTTCCAACATCTGAACACCATGAAACAACCTGTGAAATTCCTTCCAGCTATGGAACAACCTCTTGGAGCCAGATGGCTCCTTGCAATGAGGAGGGAAATCACACCGGTCCAACAAGACCTTCAGCTAATGTGAACTGCGTTTGCACTCTTTCCCTCTGGTTGCTGCCTCTCCCACCCCTGTGCCGGGGAGCACAGCCGCTTCTGATGCTGAGTACCGCATTAGTCTTCTCCCAGTCCCGCAGATCCAGGCTGCTGCTCCAGCCAGCCCTGCAAGGACCCCTGGGTGTGAGATATCCAGCCTTAAGGATTTTAAAATATCTTCTCTAGCAGCTGTTGTCTCACATCCTCCCTTGCTCCTAATGGCCTGGAAAGCATTTTCCTTATTCCTCATCCAGCTCTAGCTCAGCAATCTCTATCCGCTTCTTTGCTCTCCTTCCTGACAGGTTTGGCATCTCCATGCGGTTCCTTGCCTTTGGTTCCCAACAGCCCATAAAGTCCTTTTTTTTATTTCCTAGAGCCTTATCGGACCTGGATAATCCTCTGCTGTCTTTGGCAACCTTCTCAGCTTTCCATACCTTGCTGCTATCGGGTGCTGTCTGGTCCCTCCATGACACATTGCTTGTCTATTTTCCCATCCCTACTGCAGTCTCTGGGCAGGAGGACCTTCAGCTGGAGCCAATTTCCTGTGTTTTCTTGACCATTCCATAAACCCTGCTCAAAGCCATCCCTGTCCCCACACACATTCCTTTGTCTAGGCCTTTCCTCCCCGGGGCAGCCGCCTGCTTTGCCGCTGCCTAGACAAGGGCTCTCCTGCAGCACCCAGTGCACGCACTGCTGGTTGGTTCTCCCCATCACCTCCTCTCTGGGTTCCTGTCCCCCAGTTCAGTGAGCATCATCACCCAGCACAGGAGCAGCAGCTGGGATGCACACCATCCTGGCACACCAACAACCCCCATAGAGCTCTCCATCCCACTGACCAGCCCAGCCCTGTGGCGCCCCAAAGCTGGACTGGCCGCCTTCCCGGCCATCATCCCCCAGTCCTCGGCCCCACAACTCCCTCGGCACGCAGCACCGTGGGCGCGGCTGACACCAGACGCCTGGCGCTGCAGAGGGTTGGCACCCGGCCACGGGCAAGTTGGACGCCAGGCAGCAAATCCCAGCCTCTCCAGCACGGCACGGTGCAGCATGGCGGGGGCTCAGTCCCAGCACAGGAGGCCCCACTTATCTGCTCTGCCGGCTGCCTGGGCGGTTTTCCCAGGATGGGAGAAACCGATGGGAGGGCGATGGTTTCCTGCTGTAGGGATTGACCTTGTGCTGTGGACTTGACAAAGGAGGTGACAGTGCGACAGCCTACAGCATGCTGTCCTAGTAGGGACGGCAATGCCATTCCACTGGCAGCAGAGCGTCTGCCTCACTGCATCCAGGCCACCCTCACCTCCCTGTCCTGAGCCCTGGTGCTGTGGGGACTGACAGACGCAAACAAGCGATTACTGGCTGATGTCAGCACACTGCTCTGGTGTTACTTTGTACACATGGGAGGTTACTGGAGACCAGTGCAAGCCTCCAGGATCCTCTGTATAGCAGGATGGGGCTGGCTCCTTGGCTCAACCTGCCCAGCTGCTTCTCTGGGTCCCTCAGCTCTGCCGCAGCACTGGGGCAGTTTTGGGAGGCAACAAGCTGTGGGTTGCCCTAGCAGTAAGCACAGCAGTAGAGACCATAATGAGAAGGGAAGGTCCAGGCACATTGTGAGAGGCCAGGGATGTTCCTGCTGGGGAGAAGTCACCAGACTTCATCCTCTCTCAGTTCCCGGGGCTCATGTGATGCTGCAGAGCCTTCAGCGCGATGTGTCAGCTGGGGTCACTTCCTCCCTGGGTGACTCAGCCGGGGCTGAGGACGCCTGTTTTCACTTGTGCCATGGCAACCCACCACCGCAGACAGCACCACTGTTTGTAGCCGTTGCCAGAGATGACGGTGGCCTCCTCTTGCCTCATGCAGATTGTATGCGATAGTGGCAATCTCTGCTTGCTCCGGCAGCAGCACAGCTTCCTGATATCACTTTGGCCCAGCCCTGCCAAGCGGAAGGTGTGAGCTCTCCTCCTGGGAAAACAAACCCTTTACTCTTTTATTTTTATTATGCTTTTCATGGTTTTATCCCCGTGAAGGCGCAGGCAGGAGCCAGCCTGTCTCCAGGCCAGGTCCCCAGGCCATGCATTGGTGCTTCCCACGCTCTGCTGCCAGCTCAGGCAGCCGGAGCTCCTCGCTCCTCTCCTCTCCTGTCCTCTCTCCTCCCCTGCTCAGATGGCTGAGCAGACATCACAGCAGATCACAGCTGCTCTCCCTGCCCGCATGAGGGAGGTTTTGGATGGCCATAGCATTACACAACCTGAGCAGATCATGCAGGCTGCACCATTCCCAGCTCCTTCCCAACGTGCTCCTGTCTCTTTTATACACACTCTCTAACCCCTTGCTGGGACACCAAGCCTGGCAGCAGGGAGAACATCTTGCCAGCAGGAAGTAGCAGAGCAGCACAGGGCTGAGAACACCTAGTGGGGCAGGCCCCACACCGCCTGGGGAAGGGTCAGGGATAACAGCTCCCACCAGGCACAGATCACACCTGGTGATGATGATCCATTATGGACTCTTGTCTCTGTCAGCTGAGCAGCACACCCCTGGCTGGGGAGAGGATGGTGGCTGTTAGACTGCCCACCCCGGCATCTCTGCTGTTGTAGCCCAGCCATGTCAGGTCACAAATAGGCACCTTCTTGCCAGAGGGCAGTGAGCTGCCTCCTGGCACTGTCTTCACCGGTGGGTGCAAGGGGCACTGGTATTGCTGGCTTGGCCAGCACACTTTCAGCACACCCAGTTTCATCATGCAACAGTTACACATCACTGGATCCCTGACTGCAACAGCTACACAGCAGCTGCAAAAGTTCTCTAGTCCAGGTTTTCCTGGACAAAGTGAGTTAGTCTGCAATAGGTATGTGTGTGGGCTGTAGCGCCAAAATTCAAGGTCATCTCCCAGCAGTTGGGTGCTTAAGACAGGCGTTGGCTCTTCAGGCCCTCTGATACAGGGTCTGCACTTTCAGTATGATAAGTGAACTTAAGAGAAGGATTAGAAAAACAAGATCTGAGGTCTCACAATTCTCTGTTCTCAGGAGTTTCACCGTTTCTACTTAAATAGCTAAGTTGACAGGTCTCTGCACCAAGGGTAACTCCCTCTGTCCTCTTCACCCCTGGGCCTTCAACACAAAACTCACCAAAGAAAGTGGCTTTGGTGGGAAGCTCTTTCCTACATCCTTCCCTCTCTCTCTTTCCTTGAAAATAACACAGGAGTTGTCAAAGTAAAAAGCAGATCTAGTGATGGATGCCAACTTTTCTTCTTGGGCTGCAGGGAAAGCCACCCAGGACTCGTAGCAGTCAGCTCCTCACTGGATCTTCAGCACCAGGGATGGGGTGATGGTGGTACCACCTGTCCCCTCCTCCCCTTGCTCCCTGACTAGGCCTCAGGCTCCAGTATTATGGTCTTGTTCACTTCTTGTTATGCCCTGGCCATCTCCCTTACCCAGAGCCCCTCCGACTTCGGTGTCTTCATCTGCTTCAGTATTTGCTGGGGTTGTTGTTCCCCATGAGGAACAAGGTTTGACTCCCTCTTTGCCACCTCTGCAAAGCTGTTTCCGCTGGTGGGATGGGGTTTCCCCAGCAAACTGCTTTGCAGAGCTGGGCCAGGAAGCTCCAGCTTGCTGCGCAGGCTTGCAGAGTTCCTGCTGCCCAACATCAGCTGCACGGTCCCTCTTGCCATTGCCTGGATAAGCAGGCAGATTTCTGAGGTGTTAGGTGATGGGCAGACACTTTCTTGACCTAAAAGATACCAGAGCTCTTTGAGCTTAACACAAACCAGCCTTAGAAATATCCAAAGCAGTAGTGAACTGGATATCACCCAGTTACAGACCAGCTTTGTCCCCAGGAGCCCCACACAGCAAAGAGCAGGAACCTGCTGCAGCCACAGCCCCCATGACATGCTCCCTGGCCCTGCCTGTCCCCGAAAGGGACACAGCTTTATCTGCAGAAACACATTGGCAGGGAACAAACTTCTCAGCACCCCATGGCAGGTGCCTGGCCTCACCTGTGTGCAGGGGCTCCTGTGTCCGCGAGGCACTGGAGGCTGCACGGATAAGACACAGGACTACCGCAAGGGAAAGGCCAAAGGTGGCACATCAGTGTCCCCATCAGTCCTGGGAGGGGTGGCACCACTGGCATCTCAGCAAGGCAGTGTTGAACTAAACCCAGCACGTGTTAGCCCAGATGTGCGCTGCAGCTTGCTGCTGTGGCCATGCTGGCAGGACACAGCCATGTCCCCAAGCTGTGGCTGCTGCTTTCGCTAAGGACAGCCCTAGGGAACGATGCTGAGGGCAGCACCCTGCTGTAAGGCTTCCAGCCTAAGCCGCCCCTCTCCCCTTGCCAGCTGCAGGCTTAGGGATGCATCTGTCCCCTGCTTTGGATTAAGATCTGTCCAATCTGTGCTGGGAGAAAGACTCAGGGCCAGGCAACCCACACCAGCCCCTCCTGCCTGCACTATTCAGCACTGGGGGCTGAAGCAACATCCACACCTCTTGTAGATCAGCTGAAAGACTCCCCCAGACCTCTTTCTGCCCTCCTCCCCTTTTTTCTGCTGTACAGAAAGCCGCAGAGCCAGGGTGGAGAGCAGCAGCAGTTCAGTTTCTGAACCCATGCTATTTCCTGTCCTTTGCCAAACCCTCTGCTGCTTCCCTACCTCAGAGCATTTGGGCTCACCCACACCCAGCTGCCAGAGAATTGGTGGTGATGTTTGTTTTTTTTTGTCACAGTGATGAAGTGTTTATAGCAACCATCCCTCAACAATCCACAAACTTCACTGATCTCAGCCCAAGCTTCCGAGATAAGGGCAGAGAAAGCACAGCTTCTTCCACCCGGGTCAGCAATGGTTGTGTTTCAGGTTAACAAAGCTGGGTATCACCACACCACCACCACCTTTTGCTGTCCCAGAGGAGCACCTCGGGGCTGGGGCAGTGCCCTGACCCTACCTGTGATAGCAGTAATACCCCCATGGCTGCTGTCTGGTGACCAGGCGGGAGGGACATGGGGGCTGCCAGCCACCTCCTGAGGGTCTGCTGCCTGCCTCGAGAGGTGGAAGCAGCTGGTAGGGCACACCGAGCCGGCATCCTGTGCCTGCTCAGGAAGATGGTGTTTTCCATGAGCATCCTGGCTCCCTTGTTGCAGGAGCAGCACTACCAAGGAGGCTCCCGCCATAATGGGAGGGAAGGGACCATTCCTGTCCATCCGCAGCTCCCACCAGGGCTGGGAGCTGAAAGCACCATAGATGAGCTGCTCTGGAAGCCACGCTGCTGCCTGTCTGCACAGCTCACGCCCCAGGCCATGGAGGTTTACTGTCCAATGCGTAAAAGATTGTGTCTGCTGACAACTCACCTCCCTGGCAGCTGCTGAGCCTCGGTGCACATCAGAGGGGAGCACGGAGCTTGGGCGTGGATTTCCTATCCAAATGTGATACAGCTGTTCCTGCTTCCTCTCCAAAGGCCGAAGCAAGTTTTACAAAATCAATTTATCATCTATTTTCTTTGACCAAGGCTCCTTGTGGATGTAACCTGGGCCTGAACTGCCCAACCTCACAGCATCAGGGCTGGAGCAGGAAGAGAGTGTGACTTGTACAAGCGCAGAGCTCAGAGGGGAGTATCCTCAAAGCAAGTCCTGGGGCTAAACACCATCTCAGTGGGAGTGCTTACTGCAGGGCGAACAAAGAAACAGGATGCTCAGAAGGAGCTTTTGGGGAATCGATACCCAAGGGCTTGTCCCCAGATCTTGCTTGGGAGACCCCAGTTTTTAAGCTCCTCCATGTGGAGCACAGAGTGAGACAGCTCCAGGACCAGGTTCAGTGCCTTTGCAGGCACAGCTCAGTCCCCACATCCCTCTGTGCACCCAGAGCAGAGTGAGCCGTTCCCAGCCACCACACCTACAGTGTAAATCGGTGACAAGGACCAAGGCAGTCAGTAGCCCCAGGCAGTGTAATGCAAACAGCAACACACTGCCTCCTGCCCCGGCCTCTGCCCACAGACAGCACCTGCTTTTCCATACCTCTCATTGGTAACTGCTCATCCCTACTGGCTTGGACCCTTGAATCTGGAATAAGCTGCTCCTGAAAAGTTTTGGTGCTGGACCCTGTTAGGAAAGAACAGAAGCCCAACTCATGGGTCCCTTTTCCAGCTGGATACACTTACGCAAATCCAGAGGATGACAAGGCTTGTGCTTGCCATCATTTTTAATCCTGAGGGTAAAAAGCTATCTCACTAGCTCAGGGCTGCTGGGATTATATCACTAGTTTGCTTTGAAGGCCAGTTCACAGAGGAAAGCCATGTCCCAGAGCCCCGGGAACGGGCTGCATGCCAGCGGCTCTGCAGAGCAGGACTGTGTCTTGCTGGCCAGGAGCTGTGGGTGCTGGCACTCCCAGGAGGCTGGTGGCAAGGGTAGCAGTGGTGGGAGTGGGAGGGCAGGGAGCCCTGTGTGCTCTGGCTGGCTGGGAGCAGTGGTGGTGACAAACAGCAATAGCCAGGATTTGCCTTTGACACAGGCGCCTGCATTTCTTGTGCTAACTGGGTGGCAGGCAAAGCAGTGCCAACTGTTCGAGTTTATCCTGCTGGAGTGTGCTTAGTGGATGCAAAGACTTGGCATCAAGCACACGGGATGTTTTAAGATACTTATCAGATTGGGATGCTTTTGACACCAAAGATTCTGACACTGGGTTCTGGATGTATCTCTGACCCCTGAGGGTTCTGGCCAAGTCCCAGGAAGGCTGGTTTGACAGTAAGATGCAAAGAAGTCTCTAAGGAAATGCATGCACAAACTGTAGACAAAAACTGTTGTGAAGTATGTCTCAATATGTAAATGGGGTGGTTCAGGTTAACAAAAGACATGGTTAAGAAACCATTTTAGAAACATCCCTCAAGTCGACATCTTTTACATCTGTCAGTGCTGCTCTTCCAGCAGCACATAGAGGTTGAAACGGGAAAGAGAAAAGCACTTGTGAGCCAGACCTCACTTTGTAATACTGCATCTTTGCTTTCCCAACTGAGGGAGGCTGGCTCTGCCATGCCAATAACTTGGCCTTTTCATATGGCTGCTCAGAGCAGAAGCAGCGAATACTAGGTTTTCCTGATGTTACAATCAACCACCTCCCAGGAAGACACCTTGCTGCCCCAGCTGAGGGCTCCAAAGTGCCAACTCAGGTCCAGGAGCAAAGAGCTGGGGGCTGCCCATGGGCATGGCTTTCCAGCAGGCACTGCCAGGGGCTGGGACAGGGCCAGGAGGCTGCTGGGTGCCTCAGAAACCTCAGGTCACCAGTCTCAAGCCCTTGTCCAGCAGCACAGCATGCCTCTGCATTAACCCTGTGACAGCCGCAGGTGACAAGAGATGCCTCACAGCAGGAGCCACCATGCTCTAGACTTACACAAATGTCATGACACAGACCCAGTGAGGCCATGAGTGGGAGAGGATCTTCCCCCTGAGCTCAGGAACACCCCAACCCCAGACAAGCACTGGCACAACACCCATCATCCCTTTCCTTTGGGGTGCACTCAGCACCCGGGTGCTGTTCTCACCCCTCAGAGCTCAGGCAGCACCTGGGGTGGACAGCCAAGGGCAGGACCCTGCACACACCAGAAGCAAAAGCACATGGAGCCATCACACGGTGTCTTCAAGCAAGCAGCAAGCGTTTTGCAAGCAAGTCCCACAGTACCCCTGTTACAAAGAGCACAGCTGCTACATGGGGGAAGCATCTTTTGGTTTATTAAAGAATAAGAATACAACTGTGGGCCCATCCATGAGAGCTGGGTGCCAGAAGCAGAGCTGGGTTTTGGCTGGAAGGGTGCGGTCTCCTCTCCAGGCAGCCTTCAGCAACAGAGGCCAAATTTCCTATCCGGCAGGGCGTCCAACGCTCCCATCCCAGCAGCGCTCCATCTGGAGCGGAGCCCCTCTCCACACCAGCCCTAGCCTTGGTTACTTATTGCTTTTAATGTGCTAGTCTAGTACAGAGTGAATTAAAATCAAAAATGCATGTCTGTTGCAGTGTGTTTATGCTGTCTTCAGGCTGTGCTGGGAACCTTGGCCGTCAGACCTGGAGAGGGATGGAAGAGAGGGGCAGATGAAGTCAGGCTGGGCAGGGAGCAGAGACATCCCATGAACAACAGTGCTCCAGGACAGGTTGTCAACGCCGATAGGCCACAAAGCAAAAGCCTGTGGCATCCACTGCTGGAGCTAAGCAGGTGGTGATGGTCGTTTGGGGCTGGTGGAGAGGAGGAGCTGGCACCCAGCAGGTTGCTCCGAAACACAGGCATGAGGACTGGGAGTCACAGCCAGCCCAGAGAGACACCATGGTACACGTGCCTTGCCCACTCGCCTGGGGGAGGACAGCCCCAGCCAGCCCATGGAGCCGGAGCCAGAGGGGAGCTCCAAGGGCAGGCACCAACCTGAGGTTTACTTGAATGTGTGGCTCTCAGCTCCTCCCCGGCCAAACCCTGGAAGAGAGACAGAGCCAAGTCAGCATCACCGCTGGGCAGCAACAGGAGCCCCAAGCCCCCTTTCCCGCACAGCCCCAGCCACAATGACCCTACCTTTGGGCCCGAACAAGGCGGCATAGCAGGGGTGGTTGCAGTATGGCTTGCCGTCATGCTGCAGGGAGAAAGAAAGAGCATCAGCCCTGACCGCCCTTCGTCTCTGTCTCTGCCCATTCCGACCTGCAGGGGACAGGGACGTCCTGGGCAGCAAACCTCACCTCTGCATGGCCTCCAGATGTCAGGGTCTTGTTACATTTCTCACATCTCAAGCAGGGTCGGTGCCAGTCCTTCCCCAGAGAAGTCACCTTCTCGGCTGCCATGGAAAGGAGATGGGTTAGCCAAGCCACTGAACAGGTTGGTTTGGGCAGGCTGGCCTCCCTGTCATCAGCCCAAAGGTGTACATTTTGTGGCATTTTCTCAAGTCTATTTGTCCAGGATAGAGGGCACCGCGTTTCAAACCCAAGTGGTTGCTGTACACACACACTGCCGTGTACACCCAGGCACCAGGATGTGCAACAGCAGTGCCATGCTCAGGGTGAACATTGCCACACCCATGCAGACAGACTGACTTTTGTCCATCTTCCAAGGATTTGAGGATGTCCCCACTTCCAACATCAGCCTGCGAGGGGATGAATTTCTCCCTAGCTGTCTGGAGCCCAAGTGATCACTGGAGTTGGCAGTGGGGAAGGGGAGATGCTGGCAAGGACCAGGACGGCAAAGCCACCACTGCACCGTGCCAACACAAATCCGTTCCCTCCAGCCACCAGAGCTCTGGCCCCAGCTCTTATTCTCCATGCACCATGGCAAACCAGAGCAGGGCTGGAGCTTGGATGGGGTTCAGGCAGCAGCGGGGGCGGGACAACATGCTGTTTGCTGCAGCGCGGACACATTTATAGAGAGAGGGGGAAACACAGAGTGGCTTTTAATTGCAGCACAGTGGGGAAGGAAGGTATTTTCTGCAGGCACACGTGCTCTTCATATTGGCATCTGCACTCTTGGGGATTTATTAAGTGATAAAGCAGAGCTTTCCACAGGAACCCCATCAGAGCCCCATCTGAGCACTCTCCTCATGCCTCCAAAAGGATGTCAATGGGACTGGGTCACTGCTGGCGCGACATGCCCCAGGGGAGAGGCCTCAGCAGCCTAAAGCATCTCTTCTTTGGAGTCCAAATATGCCCACAACAGCTTATGCAAGAAGCAAGCTGGCAGCTGCAGAGGTGGGAGCGCGGGCAGTGCCCAAATGTCATGAGGCAGCCCTGCTGCCATCCCCAAGCACCACAAAGAGCCTCCTGTGCCCGCAGCCCTGCAGGGCCCACAGTGTCCTCTCCCTGTGTAGCCCCCCTGAGCCTGGCTCACAGCGGAGCCCTCCCATCACTGGGTTACTGGAAGGAGCTCATCCTCCCCACCTCTCACACAAGTATTTGCACCAACATTGGACAGCAGCTGTGCCAAGGCTCACTGCAACGGGACCCTTCTAGCCCTCAGCCATGCAGGAAAGGCTTCCCTGGAAAGCTGGTAGTGGCCCTGCAAACCCCATCCCCAGTCCTCAACATCATCTCCTCCTCACCCCTGCTCTCTATAGACATGATTTGGCTGAAAGCAGCCCAAGGCACTCCCAAGCAGAACCACGAGGCTCTGAGAGCCCTAGTGTGCCCGGGAGCAGGGATTGCTCTGCCTCTTCTGCCTGTGTCCTTATCTGCAGGCACAGAAACCAGGCAGTGAGCTTGGTTCTCCTGCAGCTTTTGAACCCTCCTTAGCCTCTGCACCAACAGAGATATTTCGTAACAGCAGCCTGATAAGCACACTGCCAAACCCCTCCTTGGTCAAACAGCCCCAGACCAGTACCTCCACAGCCACACCAGTGGGCATGGCAAACCCAGCTCGCCCTGACTGGGATCAAAGCCCATCCACAGGGAAAGGCAGACACTGACACCAGCACCTTGCTAGCTCCTGATACCAAGCCACATGGGTAAATGAGGTGTCCCAAGACCCTCAGTTGCAGGAGGGAGCCATGAACTGTATTGTGCCAAAGCCCCACCTCAAAGCCTGGCTGCAAGTGGCAAGCTCAAGTTCAGGCAAAGTGATGTTCCCCAACCACAGGAGCCATGTCCCCAGCCACCCTGCAGGCAGCACCCATGACAGCCCCCCGAGGGTGAGCATCACTAACAGACACAGCTCTTTGACAGGGAAAGCAGCCCTGTGCGTGAGCCTCCAGATCCTTTGGCAGAGCACAGGCAGAAGTTGGGACACACACATAAATAGAGCAGAAATATGGCAGAGTGAGCAAAAGTGACGGCACTTGGGTCCCTTATGTCTCATTTTCAGTGAGCCCGGTAAGACTCATGACTAGCCTGTAACGGTGGTTTAAAAATAATGCCCTAGAGCAGTCACCTCACTCTGCTAAACCACACAGGACAATATGTGGGCAACCCACTGACCCAAGAAAGTGCCTTTGGGAAGGTGCTTGCTTGCTTGCCCAGGCGTTCAGAGCAGTGGGCTGCACCAGCTGGGCTTTTGGGCTCCAAACTGGTACGGGGCTGTGGACAATGCTAGGAAAGAAACAAGGCTGAGCTCCCATGTTGTGCCATGACCCTCTCTGCAGGCTGGGCCACCCACCACAGCCCACTCCCTGCAGCAAAGCATCTCTTTGGGCAGGGGGGTTGGAACTTGATGATCTTAAGGTCCTTTCCAACCCTAACTATTCTATGATTATAGGGCCACCCAGCCAGGGCACCCCAGGGACCCACTGCACAGGGCTGCATACTTTTGGGGCACCCGGTCAATTTGCAGCGATGGGTTCTACAACATCTAAGTACCCAGACTCGCAGCGCTGGGTGCACAGGGACCTGCAAACACCAGGGTGCCTGGGGACCCGAAGCCCTGAGGGGTGCAGCGTTAGTGTACCCCGGTTGAAGCAGCCCGGCGGACCCCGAGGGGCGGAGGCGGGCGGGAGGTAGCGGGAAGCCCTTACCGAAGTAGACCTCCTTCTGGCAGCGGGGGCACTTGGGCATGGTCTCGGCTCTGCTGGGCTCGGGCCGCCGCTCGCACCGCCTGTGGGATGCTCCGCGCTGGCCCCGCCGGAGTCACTGCCCGGCCGCCCCGCCCCGCCCCGCCCAGATGTGCGGCCCCGCCCGCAGCTGGAGGCACGAGCTCGGAGCACAGCCCTGCCGGGGCTCCCAGGGCGGGGCTGGCCCCCCTTGCACCCCTGCACCCCTTGCCCCTGCAGTCCTTCCACCTGCGCTGCCTGCACCCCTTCCACTCGCATGCCCTTTGCATCCTGCACCCCTTGCACCCCTTGCACCCCTACATCCACTGTGCTCAACACCCCCTGCACACTCCACACTTTCCAGCCGTGCCCTCTCTGCACCCCGATTAGCTGCACCCTGGCTCCCTACCTGCTCCCTGCCCATGCTTGTGCAGTACGGGTGGCTAAGCCCCACTCTGAGTGGTGCTGGGGTGTGATTGGCATCTGTCAATCACACTCCTGGATACATGGGGTGCTGACCACCAGGGCTCATCCCCTCGGAGCACAGGTCTGTTTTCTCCCAAGACAGTGTAAAAGTCGACCCTCAGGCTGGGTGTTCTGCCCATGGGGAAGTTTGGGGTACAAGGTGAAGCAGGAGAGAGACATATGGCTGTAACTCCCATTGCAGGACCTGAGGAATGGCGTGGGTCATGGCTCCACTCACTGTCGAGAGCCAATCCATTTACATCGCTGTTGTCATTTTATTAGGAGCGAGGACTTGCTGTTCCTTCATGCTTGGCTGTGAAGGAAATGAAAAGCCTATCCAAAGGTCTGTTTTGCATGAAACAATCCTCCCCAGGGCACGTTTGCTGTTCTGGCAAGGTCATGAGGGCTTGTGAAACCCAGCGCCAGGACGCCTAGTGTCTGCCTCCCGAAATGCAGGGCACCCCTCGCCTGCCCAAACAGGGCCCTGTTGACACCGGAGCCCGCCCGTGGGCGCAGGAGGAGAGGCGGCAACCTATGCCCAGAGAAGTTCAGCTGTGATTGCTTTATAACCCAGCGTGGTTCCAGCCTCCCTTCGCAGCGGGATCCCTCGTCCCGTTCTCCCCGCTGCTGCCTGTGGTGCTGGGCTGGGGAGCACCCCTGACATGTGCATGGGCACTGCGGGGCTCAGCAAGGCGCTCGGCAGCCTGTGCGGGCTGTGACATCGCTGGGGAGCCTGCTCTCAGCTAAGGCGTGAGTCATGCTGAGACAGTGTCTCACAGCATGGGAGGAGAGAGGTGTCCTGCAAAGGCTGCTTCCTCCACCCTGCAAGTTCCCCATCCTTCCCCCCCCCCCTGCCCCGCGAGCCACTACACACATGTAAGCACTGTATTTCAGCCACACCATGTGCCCCTGCACTGAGCCGCAGCTCCCAGATGCATTGTCCAGGCCAGGACCCCCTCCCTGCACCTGACAAAATACAGGGGCCAAGGCATGCCCTCTCCCATGGTCATGCTCCCCCCCTCACATGGTGCCAGGCTGCTTTGAGGCCGCTGCCTGGCTAGAACAGTTGTCCTCAGCTGTGCTCCCTTTTAAGGCAGGTTTTGTGCCAGCGGGCTGCTGAAAAGCAGCCTCCCACAGGTCTCCTCCAGCTGACCCTGCCCTGTGGCTAGTCCCCATGCACCACTGAGCCCAGCTCCTCCTGTGCACTGGGCTGATGCAGCTGAGGCAGAGCCTGCCCACCCCTTCCCCTCTGCTCCCCATGGATTTACTGGAGACTGTCCACACACAGAGTGGGCACAAAGCTGGTGGCAGCTCTGACAAAACAGGCGCCACCAAGCTGCACGCTGCTCTGTGCCAGCCTTGCCTGCACAGGGCTCTCTCTGTGCCTGATGCCCGCCCCACACAGCCCCTAGTTCAGACTGGCCAGCCCTGCAGTGCTGCGGGGTGGCCTCACCTTGGGCTGCCCCTAGCCTGCTTCACAAAGGGGTGAGCCAAAGTGTCAGTGCATCATGTGAACCAATGGGGATTACAGTGAGCTGATAGCAGGGTGAAGGCTGCTGCAGAACAGCAGCCCCGCTTCCTGTGCCTCACCAGAGCTGTTCATGCATCCTGCTCATAGCTGTTACCATGCTCTTGTCCCATTGATCAGAATGGGTACACAGCAATGGGGCAGTGCAGCAAAGACGGTGGAGGGCCCTAGGCACAGAGAGAGGAAGGGTTGCAGGTGCTCCCAGAGCATAGCAGCACCCTGGGAGCTCATGGGATGTGCATTCTTGCTTGTTTTACAGGGATCGAGTCCATAAACACTCCAAATGACAGTGTGTGAAAAACATCAGCATGTGGCGAAGCAATAAATCAAGCTCCCATTGGCCTGTGCTGGGAGGAGCTGGCTGGAAATGCTGTGGCAGCCCAACATTAGGGGTCACCACCCCTTCTGCCATCCAGGGTACCCCCAGGAGCCAAAACTGAGCTGTACCTGTCCATGAGCCATCTTGGAGCAGCAGTAAGCTCATTCCTCTGCAGTGGGATGCTCCCCGTAGTGCACACAGGCAAGGGCAGGCAGTGGGCAACTCTGGTGCTGGACACAGATGGCTCCAGGTAGCAGCAGAAGAGTCAGAGGCAGTGCCTTCAGCAAAGCCAGATCCAAACACAAGCATCTCTTCAAAGCAAGGTTCACAGCCAGCAAGGGAGAAAACCCAGCCAACACCAACGGGGAACAGCCTCCTCAGCAAACCACAGCTTTATCTTATCTGGAGACCTTGTTCCAGCTAATTTAACCATTAGAGCAGAGCATGCTTTAGCTGTCTGTGCCCTGATAGGAATCTGTGGGTGAGGCTCCATCCCAGAGCATCAGGCGCCAGTGCTCCCCGATGGCTTAGCAACCGCCCGCAGACAAACCTGGGCTGTCCCATTTGTTTGTTTGGATGCTGTTGTTATGGCAAGGATCTCCTCCCTGGTCCCTTGGCAAGAGCCAGCACCAGCTCCCCAGGTCCATCCTCAGCATGTTTTATGCAAGGTGCCCCCAGCCCTCGAGGACTCCCCAGGAGTTTCCTGAGTTCTTGGGTCAGGGTTGCAGGGTGAGAGCTCCCGGGCACACCAGAGCTGTGGGCACATGCTGCCTGCCCAAATATCCCCCTTGAGCAACTTGGCCCTGGTGATTACCAGGGTAATGACTGGAAAAGTCACTGGCATTCCAGCAGGCAGGGTGAGTAACATAAGCCGATTTGGGTTTGTTTTGCTAACACAGCAAGAAAAAACAGCTATTTCCACGTCACAAACCAGCCCATCTGCCAGGGTGGCAGCCCCTGGCTCTCCTGCTGTCCTCCCTCAATGGAGTGGGGCAGGGGCTCCCACTCTTCTCACATCACATCCCCCCAGCATGCCTGCACAGCAGGGAGACAATGCACCAGGGAAGACATGACCCAGAGGCCTTCAGCCTGCACTTGTGCAAGTAAAGGTCCTGCTCAGCCGAGACAATTTGTTGTGAAATATGCCCTAGCCAGCTCAACATGAGACTCTTATTTGACAAGAAAATTACAGTGCGGCATAAAAAAGACCAGTAGAGGCTGGGAGGGAGCTGCCAGATGCGTGATTCCATCAAATGGCCCGCGAGATGCTTGTGGGAAGCAGCACAGGGTACCCCACAGTGGGGGCCAATGTGCCACTCCCCCCATTCACCTTCCGTTACCTCTGGATTTGCACACCCCTAATCCCATTACTGGCCATCCGGGAAAATAACAGCATGAAGGTGGCTGTCAGGGCAAATTAGGCTGGGAGTAATTGGGAACAGCATGGCAGCAGGAAAGGCAGTGTGGGAGAGGGGGCTTGGGGAAGGGCCCTGGAAAGGGCTGCCACTGGAGGATGCTGAGAGGGGAGCCCAGCACACCCACCACCAGCCTGCCACTGGTACTGTAAGGCCCCGAATGGATTGAGCCTGTGAAACACACTTGCTGTTGTGCCAAAATCTGTGCTTGCTGCCTTCCTGGCTGCAGTGCAGGGTCCGTCCCACGGTCCATCCCACCATGCCCATTGGGTATGGGCAATCCCACAGCCCTTTCTAGCAGAAACTGTTAAAGCATTTCCAGGCTGGTTAAGGGAGCTGGCTGCCCACAGCAGTCACTTCCCAGGTCAGCTCCCAGCCTCAGGAGCCAGGGTGTGAATTACTATCCCACGGTTAGTATTACACTGCACGAGCAATAACAAACACAGGAGCCCTGGGGCCAGCTCCCCAGGGTTCGGGGGGATGGGGTGAGCCCTGCTGCTGGGAGAGCACAGGGCTGCCTGCACAGGGCCACACCAGGGATGCAGCTGGGATTTCCATCCATGGGACACAGGAGTGGGGTAGCCCTCGCCCACATCTCAAACCTCTCCAAGTCCCAGCTACGTGGAAAAATCTCCTCTAATTTCATGCAGGCATTGCTCCCCTAGCCTTCCCGAGTATGCTCTGGCCAAAGTCTCTGCTGCCATCTGCTCTTTCCTGCAAGCTTTCCATCAGCAGCAGCCCAAGGAAACCTCCTGGCTAAATCCTTCTCGGGGGAGGGTTTGGTGCATTTTCCTGGCACAGCCCTGGCTGTTTCTGTTGTGGCTAACAAATCCAGTCAGGATCCTTGAGGAAGCAACGCCCGCTGCTCTGGGAGGCCGCCCAGCACTCATGAGGCATTGCTCTGCCTGCTGGGAGATCACATCTGTACCGGGGGCTGGTGGGGAGTGTGGGCATGGCTCAGGGGCTGCTCCAGGGACCAGTGCCAGGGAGCACCTTCCCAGCCCTGCCCTGGCATGGGGCACTCACCCAGTGGCGCCATTTGCCCTGGGCTGGGTCTGGAAAACAAGGCTGTTGACACCACACCTTTTATTCCTGGTTAAAAATTCACTGGAGGTGAGGCAAAGGGGAAGGGGTGCAGAGGTGTTTGCTCTTTCCATCAGCAGACTGCACGGTCATGCCGTAGTGGTGGTGCAGGGGGGAAGAGGGATAGAGCTGCTCCACTCTGCCGCACCCAAGCATCACGGAGGGCCAGAACAGAGCAAGAAAGAGGAGGGTTAGAGGAGGAGCCACAGGTTTGCACTCCCCCTGGCAGTGTGCACACCTCCATCCCACCAGCACAGGTATCCCTCCCCCTGCCCCTGCTGCTCACCACACCTGAAAACCAACCGGCGATATAAAGGCTGCTGTA